TTTTTTCATTTCACTTGAACTATTTGTTTTACCTTAGTTTTGACTGGTCAACGAAGGTGAAACCCCATTCTTTCCTACTTCACAATATTTAATGGACCCGCTCTGTTTTCCAGGGTTTGGTCTTCACGCCCGTGGCATGGATCCCTCTTCTTGTCATCAGGGCTGTCATTCGCCTGGTACTGTCATAGGTTTATAATCAAGCCGCTTCCAGACTAGCGGTTTGAGGTCGTGGTGTGATCCTAGGTTACTAAATGTCAGTAAGAATTCTGACAGTGTCCAAATACTAACGAAAGATGAAGCAGGAAAAAAAATTAGGACTGAGGACATTTTCCTGTTCCTAACGCCATCCGATTGTCCTCTATGCAAATTTGTTGCATGGAAAGCCATACCCTCTCCATGAACTCCATTTGGTTGACCAATGTTGTGATGGTCAGTGTAGAGGTAGGACTACAGGCAGTGCAAGAGACCACAGCAAAGTAATCGTTGCCTCAATCTGTAATTTACTATCATTTCCAAAATAGGCACAAACTTACCTCGAATTCAACTTTAATCAAACCATCTCTCCTAGATACAAAGAAGCCTATCCATAGCCACCTCCGCTCCCAACATACTTTATTTCCCAACTGTCAAGTATGTGGTCTAAGGCAGGTGAACAATTCCGTGTGGAGTGTATGAATAAACACACCCACACAGGGGGAGGTGGTGTTGTGGAGACAAAGTAGTGGAGATGTGAAGTGAGTGGACCTCCTCAGAGGGACAATTCCTGCTATGTTCAGTTCAATCCACTTCGTGGTAAGTGAGAAAGTTGTCACCAAAGTCAGTGGGTAAGGCAGTAACGAGTTCTTCCTGGACGGTGCTTAATGTAACCTTCCTGATGGGAGTGAGGAGTTAATTACCAGTATCTAGAGCATGTTTTCACCTCTTGTTAACACATGACAAATGCCACTCATTTGTATGGCTTTCACCATCATCTGACCGGTCGAAATAGGCACAAACCAATTAATTCAATATATGCATTAAATATTTTCGAAATTTGTTCTGAATAGCCTTGAATAGCTTTGATCGTTTGTTTGACTGTGGGTTTTGTTAACGGGCAACCCAGGCCCACGTCAGTGTGTCTCCACCATTTGGCCTGTCCTCCGAGCCATGCTGGTAGCCTCCCCCTTCCCCCTCTCAGCCCTCCCCTCCACGAGCAACACGTGTTTTGCCCCAATATTATGTTCTCTCTCGTCTTCAGGGAAGTCTCGAAGCGCTACAAGTCTGACCTCGATTTATTTATAGTCACAGCGACATGTTCCCTCACATTACTAACAGAAATGGTCAATCTGCTTGAATATCACCTTTCCATCTTCGTGTGATTCATTACCACATTCTGGTTGTTTATTCAAACTACTGCTCGATGTTTCGTTCTGCTGCATCACTCTCCAAATGGTGGACAGCACAGCTTTGGCATTGCATTTCTATGCGTAAAGCAGATAAGGTTGTATCACCTCTGTCAATTTATGAAATGAGCATTTGAAGTGAGAGGGCAACATCAGCAAGCATGCAACAGGCGCCAACGCACTCACACTTGGGTATAAGCAGGCGGTTCCTACATGCTTTGAGATCTTCTGAAACTGCTGAAATACTTTGGTACTTGAAATAAGCTCCGTTGTGATGTCTACACTTTTGTTAAAGCCCATTTTATACAAGTTGCTTTCAAGATTCAAAAGCGTATTCTTCATGTTTACTAGTTTAACATAGAAATTAGCAAAATGTAAAATCGTCTGTTCGCCTGTCCCCCACGTAATCTCCAAACGCAGACTCCAGACTTGAGAGCACCTAGACAGGTACGTCCCTCGGTCTAGTCTACATTTACAAGCGACCTACACCACATGCATCGTGGTCTTTTGGCTTGAGCAAACAATTAATTTGGTGGTTAATTGCTGATAGCTGAGAAAGTTAGTTGTCATAACAAGTCAGTGGGTGAGGCAGTAACCATTTCCTCTTGGCCAGTGCTGTTGTGCAACCTTCATTATGGGAGTGGGAGCAAATCAGCAGTCCACAAGGCATACTTTCATCCGTTGTCAACGCATGGCCCATACCGCCCATTTGCCCATCTAATACCATGATCTTGCTGATCAAACTATGTACGCATCAATCGACTTACCATTTGCATTTCATATTTCTACAATTTGCTCCGAATAGCCTTGTAATACTTTGATTGTTTGTTTAGCTCTCCGTTTTGATGACGAGCTACTTGGGCCTCCGCAACTGTACCTCCAACGGTTGGCCTGTCCTCTGAGCCATATTAGTAGCCGCACCCTCCACCCCACTCTCAGTCTCAGAGCGCTGCAATTCTGACCTCGATTTGTTAATAACCACAGCGACGCGTTTCCCACATTTCTAGCAGAAATGGTGCATCACCTTGAATGGCATATTTCCATTTTCGTGTCACTCATTACCTCATTCCAGTCGTTTATTCAGACTACTGCTAGATGGTTTTTCTGCTGCCCCACCTTTTCCTAATTTCAGACAGCACAGCATTGGCATCACGTTTCTGTACATAAAGCAGATGAGACCGCATCACATCCATCTCAACTCTTCAGGCTAGCAGTTTATAAAATAAGCATTTGGAGTAGAAGGACAACATCAAAAAGCATACAATAGGGGCCGACACACACGTACTTGGGTGTAAGCAGGCGGATACGTATTGCAGGTTCCTACATGCTCTGGGGTCTCCTGAAACTGCTCAAATGCTTTGGCAACCAAAATGTCCCCTTTTTTGAAGTCTAAGCTTTTGTTAAAACCCATTTTAGCAAGGTGGATTCCAAGTATTCATACCATAGGTTCCATAATTATTAGTTTAATTAAAAAGCCAGCAAAATGTAAAATTGCCTCTTTGTCTATGCTTTTCACAATCTCCAGGCATACACTCCGTGTTCAAGAGTTCCTAGACAGCTTCGTCCCTCTGTTTAGTCTACATTTACAAGCGACCTACTCCATCTACATGGCAGCCATTTGGTTTGAGTAAATAAGTAATTTTGTGGCGAAGTGCTATTACTGTTTCATCTCTTTGAATGGCAATGAGTTATTCATGAAGGCCAATTTTAACCCACCACCTGCAAACTGGCCTTTCTCTTTACAAAATCTGAGCAGTTGCTTTACGCTTTTTTGCCAATTGCTGAAAAGTTACTTCGTTTATGTCTGTGTCGCCAAGAGACCGCGCCGAGGGGAATATGCACTGTTGACGAGCAGTAGGACTTGGGACTACTGGCGTAGCCCGGAGGCCAGGTCTCTCGATAGAGGTACAGTGGTGGAGCCCACCAAGTTGACGCTTACCAAGACCCAGAGTTAAGCGAACAATCAACATACTCCAGTATTTTCAGTGATATCAAGCCACAGGCCTTCATTATAAGTTATCCTATTCAATTGGCTCCTCCTTATGGTGAATGTCCACTTTTTTACTAACAACAATTTCCGGTTGCAGAATTCAAACTAATCTCGATCTAGGAAAATTTCTCTGCTAGTCGACTTGAAAAACACCTGTCAGAAAGTCTTGATTTCATTTCTAAACAAATGTTTTGTGGGTGTAGCAATTGAGAGGCGTAGTGCTGTCTTAAGCAGTCCTCCTTCCTTCATTCCTTCCTTTCTCCACTCATTTGTCATCATCGCGCACTCCTGCGTGGTGTGCATGTGGTCAGGCAAAACGATATCACTACCGTCGGGTAAGTAGATGTACAATTTGGAACATCACCCTCACCACCTTGGATGATGTTTCGCCCACCTGTTTGATTAATGACTCACAGAGTAGGAGGCCATTCCATCTAGAGACCGTTTACAAAGCCTCAGCATAGAAGCGACGACTAAAAGGACATTCTGGATTAAGCATCAC